CGAGCGCCTTAACCACCTGGCCATGCCGGTCCGAACAAGTTATAAAAAACTAATTCTAACTTTTACCTAGTAAAACCACGTTTTATCATACTTTCCATATATATATATATATATATTGTTTATAGGGGCAATAAAACTGTGTACAGTTATAATCACAACTCATAAATTTACCACTTATACACAATACAGGTACATTTGTATTCCTGTCTAACGGTGTTTAATGAAAGCTGTTCCAATACCTAAATTCAATGATACTTCTAGTCGTCACTCTAATTGTATCATCTTCTTCTTGTCGTAGTACCCTCCCATGACTAACATAGCTTATGTTTAGTTTATTTCTTCTAAATTTTCGTGCATAAGTTGTACACATAAGTACATTTTCGTTAACCGGATGTTTAAAGGTCGAAGGTGTTTGTTAATCTTTTTACAAATGTAAAGGTTACATACAACAAAAACAAGAAACTTGTATCTCTTTGATCCTATTTTTACTTCCTGAGGAAAAGATGGAGGCGAGCACATGTCAAGAGTTGATTTGTATTTGTGCAAATAGATATGAGTTAGGGCTGTTGGGAATATTTTTTGACGTATCCAGCTTGGTATTATTGTATACCATACTTAGACCCATTTTCTGGGTGGAAAATTTAGTATATCGGAATCCTTCTTATCTCTTTCCTGTACCGATGTTATAGGAAATATTCCTCTCTACCCCAGCAGTAACTATAGTCAGCGGAAAATTGTAAACCGCTTGTCTGTTAAGTTCAAAACAAACATTTATTATGAATAAATATTTTATTTTCCTTGTTTTCCTTTGCTATCCCAGTTTGAAATTATTTTCTAAAGTACATTTCCAGTATCTACATATCGGTAAACCTGAATACCACATTGCCAACAAGATATTCGTAAATATGGTCAATGCTATTCTCACTTTATTATCAGATTTTAATAGTCAGGCGGTATAGGAAAAGAATTTGTAATGATCATGACTAGTTGGAAAAAAGCACCAGATTTGGCACACTAACCGTTTGAGGCATGGAGAACATTATCAAAAGGGGTGCTATGGGCTTGGTTGTTAGTTTTAGTTTTTAAACGTTTTAATCTACCTTTGCTGTAATTTGTTGACGGACTTCACCTACAATAGATTGACTCAGTTTTAACATAATAATCTCTTCTATAAAAATACTGTTTTAGATAGTTCTCATTTCTAGAAAACTATTGTTTCAATCTGATTGGAGAATAAATATGTGTTCCTTTTCCAAATGCAGGAAATATGAATTGGGAAGCATGCGCAATTGGTTGTGTAGGTGGTGGTGACTTGAAGTGTCCTGCTGACAGCCTTCAGAAAAACAGACTACATGACTTCTCTTCCATGGAGATGACATTGCTGGAGTATTTTTTGAAAATCGAGCTAAATGACATATATCCTGTCACTTGAAATTTGCTCCTTCCTATCTAAGAGGGGTTCAAGAGAAGAAACGTAAACACGCAACTTTGTATCAAATGGGCAATGTGATGGAGAGTGTAGGCAATCAAAATGGCAAGCCCTTAGCTCCTCTCCCAGTCATGATGTTTGCATGAACTCGTCTGGAAATCTACACCTCTGTAGCTTGGCCAGGATCTCTGGAGGGTGCCAGCAAAGTTACAAGACATGGCATTATTGGGAAAAGTCTCAGGAGAACACTTAGTGGCAAGTGAAGCCAATTACCATATAAATGTCCGCATGCCTACAGAAACAGTTAGATTCCATGTAGAGGAGAATTCAAATTGCCCCAGACACCAACGAAAATACGATCCTGGAAGCTAAGTGGAAAACGGGAGGTACCTTTTCAAGCTGTACAGTGGTTTGCTTTGTTTTGAATTTCGCGCAAAAATACTCGAGAGCTATCTGCGTTAGCCATTCCTAATTTAGCAGTAATAAACTGGAGGGAAGACAGCTAGTTAACACCATCTACCACCAACATTTGGGCTACTTATTTACCAACAAATATTGGGATTGACTATCACATTATTAAACTCCCACGACTGAAAGGGAGAGAATGTTCGGTAACGGGAATTTGAGCCCGCAATGCTCAGATTGCAAGTCGAGAGCCCCAACCACCAGGCCAAGCTGCATAACCTTTAAGAAAATCGGCTAGAAGATCTGGTAATTCGTAAAATCACAAACAAGACTAGACTGATGATTCAACTCCTAGAATATGTTTTAGAAGAATGGCAACACCAAGCAGACAGGGACACATATTCTGTTGGTGCTTAACGGGGGTTTAAAGAAACTTCTCAAAGAAGCTTTAGCTTAATATGACTATACAGCTGAAACCCTTTCTATGACCAAAATCGTAAACATTTTGAGAATAGAAATATTTGACATAGACTCCTTCCGTTTTCTTGGTAGTTTTCCACATGACTGTCAGGGTCAGTCTGTACCCATAAAACTCAAGTCCTTGGTGTACATGTTGTTTAATGGGCCGAATTTGAAGCATCAAGACAGAACCGACTCCCAAGCACATTTGACCATATCACAGTTTATTCTCTTCAATGCCGCAAATAAATCTTCAACAGATATAAAAAAAAACGACATTCTAGAGATCAAAAACTTCCTCTTCTTTTGTACTTGGGCCTGAACATTCACTCTGTGACTAACATTTAGAACCTTGAAATAATGTTAGCTATGACCAGGTAACAGAGGTAGAGATATGGCTAGCTACTTCTGTCTGCCAGAACTCTGCAAAACGGAGTGTCTTGGATAATATTTACCACAACCCTTCCTCTACAAGAGCTCATGGATCTTTTCATGTTATTAGTATCACTATATTCCAATTCCCAACTGCCACATGCTGTGGTTCCTGTAGGGATCCATTAACATACCCTTGACTCTAACTCCAAGATTAGTTTATTTGAAGTTAACCAAAAGCTATACAATGGGCTATTTGTATTCTGCCCACTACGGATCTAGAAATTCACTTTCTAGCGTTGTAAGTCCGCAAACATACCACTGCTATTAGGGGGCCTAACTACAAGAAGCCTTGCCTACGGATAGTTTCTGCAATTTCGTTAATATAAGACCAAAATATAAGTTGAAGTATATTTTTAATTAAAAACAAATATTAAAAAAAAATCTCGAACATTTACAACACAAAGGGCTTGTCCTGGCCTGTTAGGGCATCACAACCATAATAATGGGTGACACCCCTTCTGATATCATTCGTTACATCACCAGGGGTAAGTATGCTACCTTTGGTGCTTTGTTTCAGCAGGTCACTATTTTTATGCTAATCTACCTGACTATAACTGCTTTTTTCTCAGCTTCGTTGGCTTTCACTGAAAACAAAAATATTGACTTTCAGGAATAAGTTTATATTGGTCTTAAAAATAAGTGTATAGTTATCATCATTTTATTACATACTAGCTGATGGAGTTTTTCAAAGCAAATGTACCTGGAAGTTAGATCCGAGCCCAAACTCTCCTATATCACTACCCGGGGGCCCTGAGGGTACATACCAAGTTTGGTACCAATCAGTAACAAGTGGCCATACACAGACTTTTGTCAAATAAAGTTTGGGAATGAGGATTGAATTCATGTTGGGAAAGCTTTACTGTATTGATTACCAGAGTCATATGTAACATTGACTTAACATTCTGATTCAGAACAGAACATTCTCTGTTAAACTAAGATAAATCTAATATGTAGTAGAAGTCAGAGGTGACCATCTACTAAATGTTCCACAATGTTTTTCTTTAAATTGTATTTACATAGCGATGTAGATCAAGAAAAGGTGAACATCTGGTATCCTTGGTGAATTAGAAAGCAATTACAAGTTTTGTTTAATTTCGTGAAAAGCCACTCAATCTGCACTAACATTCCCTAACTTTGAAGTGATAATTTAAGAGGGAAGGCAGCTAATTAATACCACCTACAGCTAATTCATGGGCTGCTTTAACAGAATAGAAGGATAAGACTGTCATCTTTAATGCACCCATGGCCCCAAAGTGTGGAGTGCATTTTTGGGCAGTAATGGGGCGGGAATCACGAAATCTCAGGTCCACAGTCTAGCACTCTAATTATCCGTCACGCTATGAAGGTATATGGAATAGCAAGATATCATGACATATTTCCTATATAAAGTTGATGTGTCTACTTATATTTTTACCTGGTGCTATCTATTCAACGATCCTGTGACCTTGATTATCAAAGAACAAATAAAGAAATCCTCAATTTCTCCACACAGATTATCTTTAATGTTAAGCGCAAATCAACACAATGGGCTATCTGTGCTCTGCCCATCTTGGGTATCGAAACTTGATTTTTAGCGTTATAAAACTTCATACTTGCTGCTTAACTACCTTGGAAGTAATTTAAAAAGCATCAAATATAAAAATATATTTTGTATTTTTTGTATAGGTGTTTAATGTATGGTGTCACATATATTTGTGTTCATTAACATTTAAAATATCCAACAAAATCATAAATATAGGCTGCCATTATAACACATCGATTCTTTTTTAACTATTAATAATAAAGAGACGTGTTTTGTAAACTGCAATACGTATATAAACTTTATTTATGCGCTCACATACACAATATGTGGTATGCACACTTCATGGTAGCATAATTTGATTTTATAGAATTTACTTTGAACAGCTAGATAGTTTAGTGACTAATTCTCCCTTTTTGCACAGTACCATACAAACAGATTAATGTAATTATAAAAAGTTAATTTTGTTAAACATCTATTTTAACAACACAGTTTTATATCATTAAAGAATCCTACATGACACTCTTATAAGATTATAATTTCTATACAAATTACGATCCTAAATCTCACGTATTCCATTTAGCTCTCAATGGGATACTCTTGAACTGCGGTGTTCCTTGGATGTAAAATGTTTTACCTGATCACAGTCAGGGGGTGAAAAATACTTCAGTATCATGCTACTTAGAAACATAACTTTAATTGGTCAAATTCACTTGGTGGTCCTTTTGGAAGATTTAATTATAGATTTGTAGTTCCATCTGCAGCAGTTTCACTACTTTGGTTTTACCTGTTTCCCAAAATAGAGCAATGTGTAGCATCCAGATTTGTGTAAGATGCTATCAGTTGGGGAAAATATTTTTGTGTATAAACGCAATTTCCTGTATGTCAACATGTGTGGTCTCTTAACTCCTTAAACCCAAGCAGCATCCAGCCAAAAATACCAATTTACCCATCGAATGGTGACAGTGTCCAATAATACTTATGTCTCTTTGGCTGAAAACTAATCCAAACTATGTTGTTATTCACAAAATTAATAAAATTGAAACTCTATAAGATATGGTGATAATTATTAGGAAATCATGAAAATGCTTCTGACAGAACAAGCATAAAATTCCGAGCTTAAAAGAGTTAAGATTAACACCATTATTATGGGGCATGTCAGTTGCTACTGTTGGCAGAAATAAATTGGAAGTAGAAACACGTCATTATTATCCAATATGACCTTTATGATAGTATTTGTTGTACCTTCTTCTAATGATGGACATCATCTGTTGAATGGTTATGGCATCAATCTCCATCTTAGTTGTCTTCATGGCCTATCAATGGATGAGAAAACCATGACTGATTTCAATTGCAGCTGGATCTCTTCCTGTCACTCTCAGCTTGTGTTGGCATAAATTCAGCTGCTCCCTTTTCTCTTGTAGTACTTTCACAATCAAATCAATCTGTTGGATCTTGTCGTAAACTACAATTAACACAACTTTGTAGTGGAAGAAGCATGAATAGAGAGAGCATATCACCTGCTAGCCTCTTTTGCCCTTGAAGATTGAGTGATGCCTTTGATACTGAACTCCACAGATCTATCAAACACCAAGTACACATGAAGGATTTACGTTTGATCTCAACAAGACAACTAAATACAGCATATGGTAAAAAATGAATCTGAATACTGATCAAATATATATAAAAAATACTACTTGACTTATTGTCATTTTGAAATTCTCTCTATCTCTCTCCTTCTATACTTGTATATATATATATATATATAAATACACACACATCTCCATAATGTAGCATAAGGCTGCCATGATAACCATTAGTTTTTAGCCCACAAATACCATTTCAAAAAAAAAATAAAAAATTGTAGAACTGGACCTTCAATGCAAGGATAGAATAAAAATCCCAAATTGTCTGCACTTTTTCTTTAGTAAACTCAAACAATTCTTTATGGCTCATAAACATTAGCCAACTTCCTTCAACATGATATTGTTTCATTTGAAGTGCACCTTACAGTGAAGTACATTGGTATTATTTCTGGCAATATTTCTATCCAAAACTAGAGTTTTAACTTCAACCATGTCAGCTTGTTTATCAGGCAAATAACCAAACTAGTAAAGTTTAATCATGAATGATTTTTTTAAATTTTGCCTTTAAATCCAAGTACCTGGTTCATTAACTTTGCCACAGGGATGTCAGGAAGTAACATTACCATTCATAAGAAAAATGTCCTTGAAGTAAATAGCAGGAAGTAATAACAAATACAAAAAATGTGAGAAGTGACAAAAGCCCATTCAAAATCATATTCAATCTCAAAAAAATGCAACACAATACCAAACTATCTGAGTGTCACTTATTACACCAATATACTTAACAAAATTCAAAATTATTTCAACTATCATAAAAACCACAGGATTTCTTCTCTCCAATACTCAAATTACCATTACAAAATTTAAAACATTCAGAAATCTTAAACTTTTAACTGGTAAGTAATCCAAAATTTTAGAAATTTGGAAAACTGATTTTATCACTTCTATTTCTTATGCTCTCAAAAAATTGTGTGTGTGAAGGTGTTTGAGACTTTACTGTTACTCAAAATTTTAATTCCTATACCCTTTTGATAACTCTGTTCACACTATCCAAAATATCTAAATCTTCCAAATAGTAAGACCAAAACTGAAAACAATACTTTATATGAAACTCCAGTTTAAAAAAAATAAAAGAGGGTGGTGGTAAAACTACGATATTATATCTCACAAATTTAAGAATAAGCTGAATTATATAATTTATTAGATACTGTAAAATAAGTAAGAAACCTTACAACACTGACCTCAAAAAAATACATGTATAAATCCATTGTAATTTTTCCCTTACATTTTTTTCCCCATAAACAAGTTTTCAACAATGTATCTTCGAAAATATTAGTTTTATTAAACTAATGGCATTAATAATTGATAAATACCACCTTACTTTTGCTAACATCATCAACTATTCTATTACAAAAAATAACCAAATGAAATATGATTTATCCTCTATGTTTAACTATTAAAATAGCTACCCGATTACTTGTTTATCCATCATTTTTACAGATATTTCTGTAAGCATACTTTGAAGGAGTGTAAAATTAATAAAATTCTTCTTATATAATCTGTCACTTACTGAAACTTTGCAATAAATTTGTTGCAATTTACAAACATTTAAATGAATTAAGTAGAATGGCTTTTTCACCCATCTATGTTACACTGCACACAAAATTGTAATGCAATTTAAACCCAATACAATAATCATAATATATCAAGCATAACAAAAGGTGACAGAAAGAATATGGCTAATTGAGGTCAACAGATGCAAAAAAATCAGCAATGTTATTGTAACCTTTCTTATCCAAATTGTTATTCAAAAAAAGTTTAAGATAATTCATACCACTATAAAAGAACTCCACATCATTAAGGAAAACATCCCATAAGTTAATAATTCTAGTAAAAAAAAAATTATGTCAAAGAAAAGTCTGCACTGAGACTTCCAAAACATTTGAGTTTATATTTCTAGCCTTTTCATGACACCACTCAAATAGACCTCCTAAAGAAGATTGTCCAATCTTTTAACAAAGATGATACTTTGCATCACATCTTTTCTGATACTTCTATGTCTTAGAAAAAAAACAATACTTTAAGCTACCTCTCCTGATACTTAAACCATGCATTTTTCTAGTACACCATATCCATCTCTGGATGTCTTCCATAAGAAAACCCCAACCATACATAATACTCCGACTAGTATTGTGTATATACAGTAATTTACCTGTTTTTACATTCAATGTTCCTAAACACTTAACAGAAGACTAAGGTTTTATTAACAATCACAACTAAATCTTTCTCTTTTCCATAACTATAGTTCTCTTACACAATAAGTTTAAACTTCCAAAATTTCCATATCTCAAGTGTACAACTTCAAAATTATTAAATTTTCAAGTTTTTTTTCATCAAGTAAAGCATTCCAATAGAGTTGGTCTTTTCAAGAAGCTTAGTACAATTAAAAAATTTGGAAACATTACCATCTAAGTAGCTATCCAAATTATGACTTCAAGTGATACCAGTAAACACATTCTCCCAATATACCCATTTATATTATCACCACTTTTTTTTGTTTTCTACTACTAACCTAATCTTCTATTCACTTTTTAAACATAACAGCAATTTTATAGGTATTTCACTTACTAGTCTTATGTGACAGATTTTATCAGATACTCTAAAAATATCAAAGCTACACATCATCAACTGGAAGGGGACTCGTACAAAATAATAGAAACACTATAAAGAACTTCAATCTGTAAGACAAGAAATCTTTTTCCAAAAACCATGCTGAGAATGATTAATTAAATGGTAAATGTTAACGCTTTTGTAAATGACCTTTAACAACAGGTTTCTGCCTTGATAACAAATAAAAACATATCTATAGTTTCTTTGACACATGCTTGACTCTGTTTATAAAAACAGGAGACAAACTTGTACTCTTCTAATCATTCAGAATTTCCACTGTATAAAGATACTTTTGAAAAATAAAAACTTCACTATTTTTTTACTAAGCTTCTTCAACCTACTGTTAAAACTGTTCATCTTGCAAAACAAAGTTCTTTCATTTAAACATACATCTACAAATCTTAATGTACAGATATTGGTTCATTTTTATCTTAAAGAAATATTTCTCTACATTCTACTGATCCACTGATTTCTACTGAAATTACTGATCTAAAGGTTGGATTCTACTGATCCACTGATTTCTACTGAAATTAACAACTGCAAACATTATGATTTCATCTATATTCATCAATGCTTTACTGAAATTCTAAAGAATTGCACATGACAGTTTGAGTAAAACTGTTAAAGAAAACCTAATTTTCTGCAGATTCTATTTTGCAGAAACATAAATATATTACACTGCAACATTAAAATAATTTAATTAAATGCATACAGTTAAAAATTTTCAAATAATAAACTAAATCTAATAACAAGCATAAAAATCAACTGTTACTATTTCCTTATATATATATATATATATATATATATACAAGCTACAAACATAAACTTTACAGTAGTAATCACAAAATTACTGTTTTTAAATTTCTTTTTTTTTGTAATTGACATTTATAGCCCTATAATATAAGAGAATATATGAAATCTTGTAATATGTATTTAAAACATTTTTTTTTACCAATTAATAGTAGCAGTTGTAAAAAAAAAAAGAATTATATTCTAATGTACACATAAATAGGTGACATTACCTGGATCATGAAGCAAAATTATTTACAAATCATATTCACAAAAGTATATTTCATAGTTATTGGTTTTTTTGAGCTATTACTTCTGCACCTAATGATCCAAGAAATTGCCATACAAGTATTCCAACCTTTAGAAAAACTATCATTAAGTGCAAAAATGATTTTTTTTGCTAACAAGTACTTCAAATATCACGAGAAAAAATAAATAAATCTCTACCTCTAATGGAAATCAATTATGGACTTTTGTGAAAATGTAATATATAATCAAATTTATTATTTTATTCAATAACAATAAAAAGCACAATACCGTAAATCCAGATGTCTTATCTGATACTTATAAATCCCCAAGACCAGAGAAGAATGCTTAAAAATGCAATTTCTAAATTCAGAACGATCTTTTAAACAAGATTTCTCTACAAATGTAATTGGCAATCTTACAATAGGAATTAATAAAGTAGGAACACCTGCATTATTACAGAGAGAATTCATACTCAGTGGGAACATCTTTAAAGTAGGAACATTACACTCATTTACAGTGGGAATTCATGCTAAGTATGTACATTTACTTTATTACCATACAAATTCATATGTAGTTTGATTATGTACATTTTAGCATTCTTACCAAGGGAATGTATATTATGTACGTACATCTGCACTCTTTAAATTGGGAGTTCTTATTAGGTACTTACTTATGTAATTCATAAATTACTGTAAGTAGAAACAACAACAAAAAAAAACTAAAATGTATATCAAGTGTTTTACGCAATGTACTTAACAGTGGGATATCCAACTCAATTTGTATGTACTTGTGAGTTGTAATTACAAGTGACAGTATTCAAGAAAATATTTATCAATGCTACCTACTTAAGCAATCAGGCAAGCACCTACAAGGTTGTCCACCTGGCTGATACCTTACCCATGAGGATGAATAAATAAGTATTATCTAGTTAGCATATAAAATAAACTCTCATAGAATATTTTAACCTAAGTAATTCACTTGACGTTTAGAACTCCTCATTCCTCCCACAGTTTTTACAAAACTACTTAAAATTTTGCATTTAGGCTCATGACCCCATAGAATACAAAAGTATAAACAATTTTTGAGTAATAAAAGGACCACAAAAAATGGGAGAGCAAAGAGGATTTGGGGGCTCTCAGACTTAACTCAACCAATTTATTTGAAAACTATGTTAACCTGTAAAGAATCATTCAAAAATGCAATTCAAGTTTTAGAAATCTGCAAACTGGAGAACCCACATACCAGGTAAAGGTGCTTGGGTACCTCTCAGAGCCAGATTTGCTGACTTACATGAAAATTTGTATGGACATCTAAGATATTATTCAAAAATAAGTACCGGTGTTTAGACTTTTCAAAATTCCACACTAGTAACCCTGAATGAAAAATTGAGGGATTTAGGAGCTCTAGGGATGCTAGGGTCTAGGTGAAAATTGACACAAACATGTAAATGGTCATTCAACAGAAGATATGCAAAATATCTGGGTAGCTGTTGTTTCACTTCCAGTTTAATAGTTTGCTCTGACAGTCTCCAGAAGTTAACTTTACCACACAATAACACCAGCATCTGCTTCATGTAACAAGAAAATTATTTGGATTTCAAACATAGTTTAAGTTACCAAATGAAGATCAACATCAGATGTTGCACCAAAAATTATTTACGAAACAAATTTGATACAATGTTTCAAACACACAATATTCATTCAACATAATCCACTTCTGAACATCATCTACAACTAATTTAGCAAGCACCACAATATCTATAAATAGTACTACGTGGTAGTCTGAATGGTTAAAAAGTATCTTGCTGAAAAATCCTACAGGGTATAAACCCTTTAGCTCAGTTGGTAGAGCACTTACCTAGTGTGCGAAAGGTTTTGGGTTCACTCCCGAGTCTAAGAGATGGAAAGCTGAGATTACCACAAGAAAAAACTGGTACCCAATTTATAGTAAAAATTCATACTATGTAAGAACATTTGCTCTCTTACAGTGGGAATTAGTACTACATATAAACATTTGCATTCTCACAGAGGAAATGCATATTATGTATGTACATCTGTACTGTTAGACCGGGAGTTCATATTAGATACATGTTTATGTAATTCAGAAATTACTGTATGTAGAAATAAAAAATAACCAATATGTATAAAGTGGTTTATGTGATGTACATAACAGTAGGATACCTAGCTTAATTCATATGCACATGTAATCTGTAAATACAAGTGAAATTCACAGAAATAGTTATCAATAGCTACATTATGCAGTCAAGTAGGCACCTACAAGGTTGTCTGCCTGAAGCCTTATTCAGAAGAGGGTGAATAAGTAAATTTGATCTAGTTAGCATACAAGATACTTTCTCATAGGATACTTTAACCAGGGTATACATGAAAACCACTCAATGTCTGTTCATATGCACAATAGACAAAGTTTTTCGTTACTCACTAAATCTTAAAAATTGTTAATTACATTTTAATTACATAAAGAACAATACTTGAGTGTTTGCATAATATGATTCCTCTTTCTAACTGGTATTCACAACTGGCCTCACATACAGAAAAACACAAGTTTCCAAAATGCAAAATTTATTTGACAACTCAAAAACTATGCTTACTACTAGTAATACACATAGCTTTGGCAAATAAATTTTGTAGATAGTATGCACATAAAAATACTTTGATTTGGCTTCTTTGTGCAGCTGCTACAAACCATTAATTAGTCATATAAACCACAGCATACAAGTTAAATACAGCTTTACTTCTGCAACGGTGTCCAGTTCATTTTAAGAATATGTTGATTGTAAAGCAACACACAAGACAATTATTTTTATAATTTAGTTTTTTTTTATGCAGCATATAATTCCAAAACAAATCTTAGATTTTCTAATAACCCTTTTAAAAAGGATGAGAACATTTTGGTTTTCATAAAAACAAAACTTAAATTATTCCAACCAATGAATGTTTTTTTTTGTTTGTTTTTTACTCATCCTCAACTGGTTGTCTTCATTACAAACAATAAAAATTTTACCACACAAGAAACAGTTTTGTGTACTTTAAGTCACAAATGTGATAAACATAATAAAATACCTAAGTACAGACATCGAAAGTAGTTTTTAATCTTCAAAAGTTATTTGGCCTGGTCCATGGTTCCTCATATACCTGCGGTAACTTTTGTACTTCGCATTTTCTGCAAGTTTAGCTTTCATTTCATCTTCTTTTTGTTTTTTCCAAACTTTAAAATTTTCCTCTTTCCATAGTTCTTTCTTCAAATAAAACAATTTCTCTTCTTCTTCTATTGAATTCCATTGAGATTCATTGCATTTTAATTTCTTTCGTATAAGGTAAAATTTTTCCTCTTCTCCAAACTCTTCCTTACAAATGTTGAATTTCCATACCCATTTAAAGTACCACACTATGTAAGCTCCAATGGTATATGGTAGTAAAATGAGTTGAATCCATAAAATATCTTTGATTGAAGGTTTTGAATATCCTCCTTTAATATCGACCTTTTCTTCAAGAACTTTCTTCAAAATTGCTTCTTCTTCTTCTTTTATCACCTCTTTTGGACGACGGTCTTTCTTTTTAGAAGAGTTAAGTAAGCCTTCTTGTTTTGCTATGTCAACTGCCTTTAACCTATATTTTGGAACTGTCACTAAATAATCAACAGCAGCTTTATAACGAGACCATGCACCCCAGTACTGAACAACTGAAATGACCGTTATTGTTACTGCCAAGACAATTCTTACATCTACTTTTGGTGCAACTCTTCTCCTGTAATAACGATAATAATGTCTGTATACTTCATCAGGATTATCCAGCATGTAGTCATAATCTGCTCTAGATTCTTCATCTCTTAAGATTTCGTAAGCCGTTGCCAACTGAGTAAACCGTTCTTCAGCTTTTTTTTTAGCTTCTGTGGACCTATGCATATCTGGATGATATTTTCTTGCCAAACGTCTGTAAGCACGTGCAATGTCACTTTTAGATGATTCTCGAGGAACACCAAGAACATCATAGCAGTTTTCTTTACCACAGTACAGTCCTTCTAGCTCCATAAAACCATGTATGGCTTGTACCATGATTAATACCAATATTATTGTGAAAATATTTGAAAAAGTAAACCCTCTGTCAATATTCATAAACATTTTCAAGCCAAGAAGATGAATCTACGCTTCCTGGAACAGTGGAATTATTGTACGTCTCTTTAATTACTTAAGTAATTTGTAGATTAACTTCACGTAACCTAAACTTAAAGTTCTTTAAGTTTAATCACGATTCCAAGCAGAAGCCAATTTTAATTTGATTTCTGTTGGACCGCAAACTGGCAACACATCATTCAGTCTCCTTACCAAAACATGAGTAGGCCCGATTCTGGGGATTTAAAATGAAATCAAACTTAAGTTTTAAGTTAGTTTAGGCTTACAAATTTAATTTAATTTTAAAAGTATACAACTTACAAGTCTACCACAAGACTATAATAATGTAAACAACGTAAATTATTTAGCATAATAAGGCTGAAATCCTCAGTTGCTAATATTTTTATATACTGTATTCTAATAACCGAAACTGTTTTACAAGTAGTTTAATAGTCTCAGCTAAATCTTTGCCACGTTTATGAAACGTTTTCCTAGTTATACACCAAACAATTTTATCATAAATTAATCACACGCTCACCGTGTTCAAAGCACTAAATAACTCGCCCTCTACTAAATTTGACACTATATTGCATTTACTTTCAAATTTTTAATGAGTTGACTGGAGTGTATTGAGTTACATATTATATCTGTAATGACTGGGATAGTCACGGATTTCAGTCTTCCATAACTGTTATAGAAAATATATTTATCCAGGTATATTCAAGTAACAATTACTGAATTTCCAAGCAGTTTCTCCATGTAGTTATGATATTCTGGCTGACATGATGTTTCTAGGTCGTAAACCTGTGCTAATCCTTTCATAATTCACATAGATAAAGGCTAGATACTGCAACATTCTCAAAGTAGAGTATTTATGTTTCTGTATGGACTTATTGGAAGGTAACATATTGAAAAGACGTTACAAAAACCTTTAAACCTGGTTTGGCTTAAGACTGTGTATAGAGCATTGTTTGTAAAATTATCAGTTGCACCGATTTCCCAAAGAGTCAGTGGTATAGTCCTGTGGGGTTGCGCGTGTCATGATATAAAATACTGTTACGTCTCTGGTCGTTTGTTAATTTCCCGTAAAAATTCTTTCCGAGGAACTTCTGCGATACAAGTCCTTTCTCAAATAAAACCAGTTTATTCTTTCTCAATTCAACTTTGCAATACACTTAATTTCTACAGTCACCTTCACTTAAACACACGCTATAATTCACAACGAACGATTCACGCACTTTACTTAGTACCACGCTTGACTCAATTGTTCGTCTCTGTCACTGCCTATCTGCAATCCAATCTCGAATAATTGTCTGGCGCACTTATTCAGTATTTGCTAGGCGCCCTCTATTCTTGTATATAAGTGCGCCAGACAATTATTCGAGATTGGATTGCTGATAGGCAGTGACAGAGACGAACAATTGAGTCAAGCGTGGTAGTAAGTAAAGTGCGTGAATCGTTCGTTGTGAATTATAGCGTCTATTCTTGTATATTATTCGTGATGTTCCCTGATCTTTCTAGAATTAATTACGTGTTACCAGCGTCACGTGACTTCCGCTGTCGTAACAATACTATTTAGTTTAGATGTTACTGACTGATTTGTTTTTATGAGTGAATATTTTATTATTGTTTAGTTTTTGTTATGATAAGAGTTAAGTGTAGACGATTGTAGGAGGTTTTGTTAATAATTCATTGATGTTGAGACTATTGAACCTCGCGTGCAAAACATTGACGTTGACAATATAGAAGGCGGACAGACGATTAGGAGACAAAGTTATTGTTGCGTATCTGCTTGTTTGTTAATTTCCGGTATAAATTCTTTCCGAGAAACTTCAGGGATACAAGTCCTTTCTTGATTAACCCAGTTTATTCTTCCTCGATACAAACTTTGTAATACACAGAATTTTCACAGTTAATTCGTTTTCTAAACTTAACTACACTCTATAAATCAAAGTGATACACACACTTTACTTACGGTGCCTACTGTTCGCTTGACTCTGTTATCTATCTCCTCAATCAGGCTGGTTTTTCTCGCCAGACTTATATATTAAAAAAGCGGGCATCTCGATCAGACTTGAGTTGCCGGGTAAATTCGTAATCCTTCGAGAAACTCCAGCGTGCATGCTCCTAGCGTCACGTGTTTGGTTTGAAATATTGAGTTGGGATACATTTGATGGAAAACACCAGTGATTAGCTTAAATTATATTAAGATAAAAACACTGTGTAGTTTGTGTATTCTAAATGCTGGGAAAAGATATTTCAGACTTGGTCTTCAAACTGAAATATTTGAGAGTATGTGATTTTTCATAAGAACTTACATCATAGTCACTGAAAAATATGGTGGATCCGTTGATGCTGGGGAAGGAAAGTCTTGCATTTCTGGTAACTGAGATATTTGTAGGTTATATGATTTAGTTTTCAATAGTGAAATCACAGTATGGTCACTTGGTTATTCAAAAGGAAAGCGAACATAAAGTACATATTGCTTTTGAGTAGTTTTGATTTAGAAATAAGTTTAATTAGTATATACTAGATTGTTTTCAGACTTTGCAGATATTATCGAATGCTTGTTCTTGATATTATTTCTAAACAAGGCAGTCCTTATACACGAATTTAATGATGAACACATTTAGTTGTAGTGTTCAAACAAAATTTGTATGTGGATTGCATGAATGTAATTCCGAATGTATTTGTAAAATCGGATTTAATTTCACTTATTTATTCATATATAGGGTATGAAACTTTCAAGGTTAGAGGCATTGATTCTTTTCATAACGACAGAATCAAAGTCCAGTACGGAAGAAGGGATAAAACTGCAATAAAACACCTTACACCAATAACTGAACTTAGGCCAACTAGCTTATGAGCAGCCAGACAGATTCGTTCGATAGTAATAGGAATTTGATAAGAATCAGTGGAACGACGGTAATAGCAAACATTCGAAGCCTATCATAAATATCCCTAGCACATTGTTAACTATACAGTGTTATCTCTGTACCTCCCCTTCTTTACCACACTAGTTTCGCAACATAATAGTTAAAATTTTGTTATTTCCTGTTTAAATCCTGCTGCTTGTTGTTTTGGTTGTATGTTTTTTCTTTTGCCTTATGCTATTATAAATGTTCCAACTGAATGAATATGTATATTTAATACTGTTGCGTCATCGAGATCACGTGACTCTTCTCACGCCCTCTACTTTCTATAACTATCCCGTACTTTGGCGAATGCTCTAGTATTTACTAGATATAGGGTAGCCTGGTATATAAAAGAGGGTGACAACGTGACGGGATAAGGTAATGTGTGTGTAGATAGTGAGTGATTGAACTGCAG